TACATGAGAGGACCAAGCACATTGAGGTGGACAAACACTTCATAAGGGAAAAATTGGAAAAAAGGGAAATTTGCATCCCTTATGTCAACTCCAAGGAACAACTTGCTGATGTCCTCACAAAGGGGCTTCTATACTCACGGCACAATGAGTTATGTGACAAGCTGGGCATGATAGACATATTCAGCCCAACTTGAGGGGGAGTGTTGTAAGGTTTATTTAATTGTTACTTTATAGTTGCTGTTGGTAGGCTGACTTCTTAAGATACTGTCAGTTAGGTACTTGTTTTTTTTCCTTATTAGTTTGGTTCTAGGGTGTGCCACCAGGGGCATACTTGTAATTTCTGTTCTTTTTATTAAGTTAATATAAATAGAGAACTGGCGACAGCCAGTAGTATATTTTTTTCCTTCTCAATCGTATCTCCATCTTCTTCTCTTTTTCTCTCTCTCTCTCTTGTCTCCCACTCTCCATGAATGATTACACTTTTCTCTCTTTAGGTGAAGGTGGGACCACCTTATGGATGTGGTAAGCTTTTATTTTGAAAAGTAAGGACTTTTATTAAAAAAAAGTGTTACAATAAAGCAATCCAACAGAGGTGCGAGGTGCAGCCCTGTTACTAAAAAGAATTACAGCCAAGCCAGAAAAAGTTCAGACTTATGCACCCCCAGTTTTGCAAAATAATCAGCCATCCCATTTGCTGACCTCCTTTCCCATTGGATTATAACAGTCATATCTCTGATTAGCCATTTAAATCTTTTTAATGATTCCCTATACTTCCAAATCACTATTTCTGGTTCCTTCAGCCACCCTGTTACCAATTTAGAGTCACCTTCAATCACCAATTTGTCAAAGTTTAGATCTCTAGCAATTTGTATCCCTTGCAAGACTGCCTGGAACTCAGCATGCAACTGCATTCCCAACTCCCACAAGGCCTGAAAATACAGCAAGAATATGTCCAACAAAGCTCCTTGTATAGATGAAGGCGAGGCCTTCATCCTAACTCCTGGGCAATGTGTGACATGGAACAACACTCACTATTGACACTCAATAGTAAGTATTTTCCCATGTCCCACATTACCTAGGAGTTAGAATGAAGGCCTTGCCTTCATATATAAAGGATAGACAACCATGTGTTGAAGCCCGTACCCTATTTTTTGTGTCATAGGTCCAATGCCAAGCCAACCTCAGCTCAGGTCCCATACAACAAATAGTTGTTCTCAATTTCAAAATGAATCATAGTCTTACCTTACATCCCAAATGGTAGATGGGCAATGTTTCATGATTCACAAACTCCCAATTAGAAATTCATTTTTTATACTAAACAAACTCTCAGAGAAAAGGGGGTCTTCTTGGAAAAGAGCAGGGATCTGGAGGAGGTGATAGACAGTATAAGAAATGAAGGTAGCAATATGGGCAAGGACCTTGGACATCTTCAAAACTTTCTCAGTAACTGATTTCTTCAGGGCTTGGACTGAAATAGCACAGTCATCAAGAGAAAAAGACAGAGTTAGGATGGATTGGAAACCCCCAGAAGGCAACAAAGTAAAATTGAATTTTGATGGGAGCTCTCTTGGTAACCTGGGTATGGCTGGAATAGGAGGGGTCATCAGAAATTTCAAGAGGAGAATCTTGGCTATTTTCTTAGGACCAATTGGCTTGGGAAATTCTTTGAAGGCTGAACTGTTGGCTTTATCACAAGGCCTCAGGTTAACTAAACAGCTGGGATTTAGAATGATGGAGGTGGAAGGAGAATCACAAGTAGTTATTATCTTGGGCTAAATCCAACAGGCGTATTCCTTGGTCCCTTCAGCATGTTCTAAGGGTAGTGAAAAGATTGAAAAAGAAATAGTGGTTGAATTTAAGTGGATTAAAAGGTGTGTGCAAATGGCTTAGCTGACTCCCTAGCTAAACAAGGGGTTATGAAGCAATGATTGTTTTGTGCATCCATGTAATTTGGGGTTGCAAATAGGGATCGACACTCTGGTTAAAAAAGATGTATTAATCATTTCTACATTCCAAATATTATAATAAAATCATTTTCTGTTGATCTAAAAAAATACTAAACAAACTTTCAAAGGTTACAACTAAGTGTATGATGTGGACACTATGAACTGTTAACTGACTCTAGAAGAAGGTACCTAGCTAGGGGTGATCATGGGCCATGCTGGGCCGGGTTATAGCCCAGGCCCTGGTTTGGTCTAACCCAGACCCCAGCCCTAAAATGTAAGCCTGGGCCCTGGTCTGTATGGGCTCGGGCCAGGCTTTGGGCTTATGACAGAAAATAATGAAAATTTAATTATTTATAACACTTTATATTATATGATGTGTAATACATGAAAAAAAATGTTGCATGGGCCCAATATGCTCCTACATTTAAGTAGGCTTGTCGTTTTCATAAATCAAATTATCCATGACAGCACAATATGCTCTTACAGTTAAATGTCATGAGGATGAAAACTTTCAATGATGACTTTTGATTTTATATATGTGATAATAATTACATATCGAATTACAGATACATAGCAGATTAATTAGGCCAGCAATGCTGCTACCCAAACCCTTCCCGGTTGGGAGTATAATATCAGATTACAGTACCACCCAATACAAATTATCCCTGTTCATCCACTGTCTTGCAAGTGCATCAGCAACACTATTTGCCACTCTATGCGTCCATGACTGTCATTCCCAAATTTCTTGCCAGAAATTTAGCCTCTCTTGGTGTGTATCTATGCTGCCATGTCCCATTGTAGGTATTTCTGAGCCATCCCAACACAGTCTTGGTATCTCCTTCTTGTAAGGCAGTTCATCTCTTGTGGAATCTTCCTCTCCCATTAGGCCCAAGTATAGTGCTATGAAAGAGGATTATGCGATTTTGGCTATCACTTAGAAGATTATTCAATTTCTAACAATCATGGGTAGAGCAAGTTGTGGTCATTTATATGCATTTTTTTGCTTTTATGTTGTTTTTTATATTCTATCCATTGAAAGATGGATGACTATACACCTTCATTTTATGGCTTATCCACAGTTTTTGAAATCCTAATTGCCCTTCTCCATTGCCTTCCCCATACAGAGCCGTACCCTTTCTACCAATCAATCGATCTACCCTTTATCGGTCCATCTTCTCCCTTTTCCTTAGGCTGTTTAAAACAGTCTCCAGTGGCTCTACAACCAGTTGTGATTTCCATATAAACAGTTCTATTTTTTCTGTTCCTAAACCTTTCTTTTCTACTGTATAGTTTTCCCTATGTCAATATCACAATGTCATTACATTAATTCTAGTGCAATGTCACTGAGTGTTTTTTTTCTTCCTATACTTAAGTTTTTGCTTATTTTTCTAAGTAAGGGTGATTATTCCTTTTCTACAGTTTCTCTGTTTTATTTTATTTTATTTGTATCACCAGTTGGCCTCTCATATTGATACTTTTTTATATGGATCCTAACTAGATAAATGTCACAAAGGATGTCTAGAACTAACAATTCACATGGCATTGGTAGGAGACCTTCCCCCCCCTCCCCCCCAACCATTTAGATTCTCCTCTTTCCAGAAAAAAGTGCTCTACCCACTGAAATTAGCAGTGCAGAATACAGTTTTTGATTAATTTAATAGTTTGATTTTTTTATTACTCATAAAAACTGATTTGCATAGAACCCATTGACTCTATTCAAGCTGATAACTATTTTCTTGAATTTCACCCTTCTTTTTTATTTAACAGAATGATGCTTCCAACAACTATGGGCCTTCATATTTTGAAGTCATTTTGTAGGTGAAGCGATGTGGGGAGATGTCAAGGAAGTTACGTTTCTTCAAAGATCAAATTACTAAAGCTGGTATAGTACTTCCTGTCCGTCCTGCACCACAGCCAGATATTGACTTAGAAGAATTAGAGGTTTGTGTCTATTATTTACCTTTGAATTGGTTTGGTTGGTATTATTCATCATTCAGTCGGTAAATCATTTTTATTGTATTTTTGCTGCACCCAGTAACATGATTTTCTCAAATTTTTACTAGAAAAAATATTCAGAACAATGAATTCTTTCTATATAGGAGAAAAACTTCACTCAAGAGTCTAATATGGATTATTAATGGCAAACCTCTTACTTCCAGATACAACTTGCCGAGCATGAACATGAGCTTATTGAAATGAACGCAAATAGTGAGAAATTACGACAAAGTTACAGTGAGCTCCTGGAGTTCAAGATGGTATTGCAAAAGGTACATATATTTTGGGTTATTTCTTTGATAGAAATCATGATGTAGTGACATCTTATGGATGGCTGTTGGCTCATGGTTTGATAGTTGCCTTACAACATGGATTGGCCTTCTCTTTTATTCTTTAAGACTCATAATTAATACTGTATCCATAAATACTTTACCATAAGCTATTGTTTGCATATCTGTTGATTCACTATTGTTCTTTGTAATTATTAACCAAATCAAAGATTTTATTAACTATAAGGAAAACATAAAAGAGGGAAGACAATTTTCTAGTTTTCCCAGTGAAAGACAGGGCCAGCCCTAAAAGGCCTCTCAATAGAGAGGGATGAACAAATACCATTCTTCATCAAGAAACAGTACCATTCTGGGACTGCACTTCTCCAAGTAACTCTATTCTTCCTGATCCTTCTAGCTAGAATATTTGCTAGAGAGTTTGTAGATTGAACGAGGTGTTCACTCTAGACAATAGAGCTCTTGCCTCACTAATATGATATGAGAAGAGTCATGCTCTCTCATATCTGCACCTAAACCAGTCAATAACTTCCTGCTAGTCCCCTTCACATTCATTATCCATTGCTTATTCTCTTTGAATATTATTTTAAGTTGGGTGGATTATAAAATTATGTTCCTTTGTTTTTTTTTTTTTGTTGCATATGCTTATTTGATAAGAAAAGTGGTTTCATCTATGCTAATATGAATGGGATGCCTCCAAGTTAAGATTGAATTATGCAATGTATGCTAATATTATTTTATGCTAAATTTCTTTTAGCTGGGGATAAAGATCAGCTTATTTCGCTCTAATTGTGTGGAATTCAATATTCCCTTTGTGGGCCTATTCATAGGCCTCCCCATCCCCTCTGGTGGTGGACAAGGTTGGACTGCTTTTTTGTGTAAGTTCACATGGTGGCTGTCTTGAAGTCCCAGGACTTGCTGTTATAGATAGGTTTAACCATGGTTTTGACTCTTCTTACATGGCTGTTGATGGTTAGGCAGGGCCACTTTTCTGCCATCCATTGAAGGAGACTTGGTCAATAGCATCAGATGGAGCCAAAATGTTGGAGCAGGCCCATGAAGATTAACTCATGACGCTTGAAATATGATAGCACTCTCACCTGCTTAGATTAGGCAGATCGCAAGGAACTTAAATTCAACAGCTGATGAACTTACTAGATCTCTTTCAAAGGGCTTTTTTTGTTTGTTAACAGCTCCCTTTATCTTCTTAATTTTAGTTTGAGAAGAAGTCAGTCCTTTTCTTTTAATTTGTATGGAGTTGTACATCAACTCATGTACACACTATTACCTTTTCAGAATGACAACTGAAATAGGGCTTCCCTTGAACTTCTTTACAATGAGCTTCCTTCATGTAAGAGAGATGGGCGTTGTACCCTATTATGTTAAGAATAGTATGACTGTGTTAACAATGAGAAAAATCTTTCATCCCATGTGTATGTCTGTCTCTCTCTGTTTGCTTACATGTAAACACAACCATATGCTGTAAATAATTGTTTTTATATAAAGCTTGTTTTTTGTACATTTATATGTTCCACTCTGTATAAATTCTATAAATAATATATAATCTTTGTGGTGGTGTAGTACTAAGGCAAGTGCCAAATTTATTTCTGCACTGTTTTTAATAGTAGAAATGTGTATTGTTCTTTGCTTTTACATGTACTATAATTATTCTCTTAATTGATGAATATCATAACTCTTTGTGGTTGTTTTTCATTAAAAAAATTATGACTTTTCAGTGAGTTTCTGGTCTTTTGTTCTCTCTCTCTCTCCACATTCCAGGCAGGTGGCTTCCTTGTTTCAGCTCAGAGTCACACAGTTGCACAAGAGAGAGAATTAGATGAAAATATTTACTCAAAGGATGACTATGCCGACAGAGCATCATTACTTGAACAGGTATTCTTTTTCTTATTGTTTAATAATATCTTTTTAGATCCATTGCTATAGTTTCATCTGTTAAGTCACATCTTTTTACAGGAAATGCGGCCTGGTCCATCGAATCAAGCTGGCTTGAGATTTATTAGTGGCATTATTTGCACATCCAAAATTCTAAGATTTGAAAGGATGCTTTTCCGTGCCACAAGGGGCAATATGCTTTTTAATCAAGCACCATCTGAGAAATATGCTATAGATCCCATGTCAACTGAAATGGTATTGTTTTTTCCAAATTTTAAATTTTCTGAATACCTTTTTTATATTTGAAAACTTATGGTAGTGTTTCAATCCATAGGATATGCTGGATCCATGGACATAGTTGCTTAGGTTTACCTTCAATTCAGTCAGTGAAGGCCCAACTAAAGCTTTGAACTAACTCAAGCCAGTTTGAGGTTTATGAACGTAAATGCTACTAATTAACCAATCAATTTGTGCCAACCTGAATTAACCTCAACTAATTTTCACTTCAAATTTTCTGCAGCAGCAAATGTGAGAATGTTTTTTATTTGGGTAAACTATAACAACACTCTATTTTTGAAAAGGTTCATGGACCTCCCTTTTTAGAAAAATTGTTTTTGACCTCCCTTGTCATGGACTTTTATTTCTTATTACTTACCTTCTCTTAGGAATCTTTCAATGAGGCTAACCAGTACCTTATCATGTGACTTTTGAAATATTTCAAATATCCCAAACTACAATAGGAATCATGTTTAAGCAATAAAGATCTTATCCACCGATTGGTGATTTTTAATTGGCATTCAAGGGCGGACCAACTATGACAAAGGTGCCAGCTGACTCAGCTGGTAAAGTTGGTGGATCTATTTCCCACTGACCTGGGACCAAATTCCATCTTTACTCTCCCCAATCCCACCTCCAAGTTTGCCTTGAAGAAAGGTGGGACCATCCATAGCTTCTCCTTCCTCTTACTCCAACAATGATAGTCAAAGTTGATTTTGTATCGTCTGTAATTTTCTTTGCATTTCTATGGCCAAATGGCTCTTGGGGCATTTATGTCATTTTACATATTCTGTTCATGAAATAAAGGTCCAAGGATGAGAGGGGAGTTCGAAAATATATATATTTTTTTCTTTCCAGAAATAAAGGCTAGTGAAATTTTCCGAGAACATAGTGAGTGTGGGTGTAGTTTACCCCTTTTATTTTATTGTGCTTATGTTCTCATCATTCCATGTCTACATTGCATTAGCTGGTCAAGATTAATTGGATTTACTTTTCTGTTAATAAAATTCCCAGTTGATTTTACAAACTGGTAAGAATGTCCTTTGTAGTTAATTCTTATATTTAATTTAATAGGAAGTAATAAAATAGTGGATCTTTAATTAAAAAAGAATAACACTGATAAAGAAAAAGACCTTGAATAATATATATTTTTTTGGTTAAATTGCTCCCTATTTTAATCATCATCATCCATGCCTTATCCCAACTATATGGGGTTGGCTACATGAATCCTTTTTTGCCAATCTGTTCTATTCAATGCCATATCCCCTATTTAAATGTTAACAAAAAGTAATCATTATTGCTAACAAAAGTTAGACTACTTTTTCTCTGGATCTTATACTTCACGGTCATCCGTACTAATTTAACTGCTATTGAAATTATATCGATTCTTCTTGCTTCACCCGTGCAGGTTGAGAGAACAGTGTTTGTAGTTTTCTTCTCTGGGCAGCAGGCAAAAACAAAAATAATGAGAATTTGTGAAGCATTTGGTGCAAATTGCTATCCTGTTCCTGAAGATATTACCAAACAAAGGCAAATAACTCAAGAGGTATGCATGTTCCGAAGGAAGTCATTACCTGTTTTCTTATGCACTGCAAAATCAGAATCTATTTCTTTTCCCTGGATGAATTTGTTTCGTTAGCATATGATTCTTCTTAGATCATGTTCCCTAATAGTAATAGGGATACATTTGCTTTTACTTGTAAACGTGGTTTCACTTTATTATATTTCCAAACTGATGAAACTAATTTCCTTTTGAGAACTTTATTTATAAATATCAGAGAACAATTGTTAACATTTCTAGGATTTGCATTGGTGTATGTTAATGCAAAATCAGTCTGCATTGGTTTTGATAATCAATCTGGAATTTCCATCACAGGTTTTATCACGATTATCTGAACTGGAAACAACACTGGATGCAGGGCTCCGCCACAGAAATAAAGCCCTTACTTCAATTGGTTTTCACTTAAGGAAGTGGACTATTATGGTATGTTGTTGCACCCTTGTAGATGACAATCCCTCCCCCATGGCACATACACACACAAAAAAAGAATGTCATTATCTGTTTGTGTGTTGGAAATATGGTCTTGTACTAAAAATGAACAATATCACATAGACATGAAGTAAAGCTTTCTTCTTAAATGTTTAGTCTGAAAATTTGTGCATCCAATTCCTGAGGGGAGGTAACTATGTAGTCTAATGGCCTTACTGCTGAGACCTGAGAGTTGGTTCACAAAGTTTGGTTTGGATTTCTGCATGTTCTTTTTCATTTTCCAATTGGAAAATATCCTTAATGTTCTGAAAAACAGGAGGATTTTCAGAAGGGCTTGAGTTGCCATTAAATGAATAGGTCCTTTTACAAATTCAGTTCCTGTCCTGTTCAACCTGTAAAGTGATGGGTGTGGGTGTTTGTTATCCCAGATCATGAGTGGTCACTGTGGTGTAAGTCTTCATTTATTGTGGTCTGTGATGCTCTGGGGGGTTTATGGATTTAAATTGATAGTTGATGGACTTGACAATCATCAGTTCCTTGAATTGTTGTTTGGGACTTAAGTACAGGCTCTGAAGTGAGACCTCCCAACATTCTCTTAGGGTCTATATGAGCAGAATTTCTCTTAGGGTCTATATGATCATTGATGGTCTGTTCTTCATTGGTTGCAGAACATGTTAGGCATTGGGTTCTAGGTTATTGTTGTGTTAACAAGTTAGGAGAAGGAAAAAGAAGAGGAATTGGAGTATGTTTTGGGGTAAATTGAGAGGTCTACTGTACACTTGACGTCTTTGAGTTAGAAGTTGGGGGTAGGCTTTCTTGGGGTCTGAATATGTCCTATGCAGGAGAATTCTTGGGGTTTACTGTTGGAATTCTTCCGGGAGAATTCTAACAGTAGACGGTTAACTAGAAGTATGAGGGAGGAGCATTTTTTGTTTAGGCATAACCTTCAAGATCTTCCTCTCCATAATGGTTACTTTACCTGGTTCAATACACAAGAAAATGCTATTTGATGCAGACTAGATAGATTTTTGATGACTGCTGATTGGGAGGAGCATTTTCCTAATTTAATTCAGGAATTAAGCTGTTGCTGCATTTCAGATCACTGGCCGGTCATCCCGTGAAATAAGATTATGAGAAGAGGGAAACCCCTTTTTAGACTGGAGAAGGTGCGGACACATCACAAGGATTTTCATCAAAAGGTAGCTTCTTGGTGGGAGGATTGCAAGCATAGTTGTCAAGGCGATGCCTAGGCGACAAGGCACACTTGGAGGCTCGCCTCGTCTAATTGCGAAGCAGTTTTGTATGTTGTGTTATAAAATACTATTATATTCTTAATTTTTTGAGATTATAATTATAAAACAGACATTATTAAACTAAAATATTCATTTTTTGTGTTTATATACTAATTTCTCTTTATTATTTTCTTATTTTTTAGGGTTTAATCAACACAAACATTGCTAACTGCTGTATTGAACCCTCAAAGACTTCAAAACCTGAACCAATAAGTAAGGAAAAACTTAAAATTTTGTCTAATCAACACATTTTCTTCTTCTTCTTCTTCATCTTCGTCTTCCACCTTTTCTTTTCTTCTTTTCCTATAACAAAAATAGGGGTTCAGCCCCTATATTTTTTTGAATATTCTTCTCTTCTTTTTCTTCTCATGAATATGTTGATTTTCTATACTTTAAAATTAACTTTTACTTTTCTTATGAAAATTATGGATAATTATTAAGGAAATATGGTTATGGAACCTAAGGAACTGCCCTAGGATATATGTTTTTTACTTAAATCCATCGCCTAGGTGTCTAGGTGACAAGGTGCCCCCCTCTCGCCTAGCCTCACCTTGGCGCCTTGAAAACCATAATTTCAGGGTGGAAGGTTGGGCTGGTTACTGATTCTTACAGAAGCTGAAACACTTGAAGAGGAAGTTAAAGTCTTGGGGAAGGAATGAATTTAAAGAGTGGGCAGAGAAAAAACAAATGAATCTGGTTGTGGATTTTTGTCCTTTTCGGTTGCAGGTGGTTGCTGCCAGCAGAAGTCTCTTAGCTGTTTGAACCTTCAGTCCTTGGTAGGCAATCCAAAAGAGGAAGACTAATGCGGAGGTGCATTAGGTGGGTTCCTTGTGGACTATTTGGGAGGAGAGGAACAAAAGAATCTTCCACAATAAGGAGAGAAGTCTTTCTGACTTGAAGGACTGCATAATGATAAGGGCAATACACTGGTTTAGAACAAACTTGGCCCAGCTCTTTTCCTTCAATGACTTCTATTGGTCAACAGTGGCTAGCACTTCATCCTCAAAACAGAGTTATGTTGCAGATTGGGTCCCTCCTGCTGAAGATTTTGTTAAACTAAACTTTTACGGAAGTAGCCAAGGTAACCCTGGCCCCTCTGGCATAGGAGGAGTCTTGAGAGATAAGGACAGAAATGTTCTAGCTTTATTCTCAGGCCCAGTTGTCTTAGGAGACTCTACCAAAGCTGAGCTACTAGCTGCTGTATAAAGGATTCAGCTAAACAGTCAACTTGGTATAGAAAGGCTGATAATTGAAGGTGATTCCCAGGTTGTTGTGGGATGATTACTGGATCCAGATTCAACTGTCTGGGGTTTCAGAGACCTCCTTAAGAAGGTGGTTTGGTTAACAAGGAATATGACAGTGAAGATCCAATGGGTAAGAAGTTCAGCTAATGAGATGGCTGGTACTCTTGCAAAACAAGGGGTTAACAAGGATTCTCTGTTCTGGGCAGCTTTGTAACTGTTTAATCTCTCTTTTAGTGAGTTTTGTATTTTTCATGTAATTGTGATTTTCTTAAGAGTGAGGCTGCACCTCGAGCCTCTCTTTGGGCTTACCTGTAACGGTGCTACCCTTTGATTAATGAATTAATTTTCAATTATCAAAAAAAAAAACAAATTAATCATGGAGCTGGATGATCTAGACTTAAAGGGAGCTGAATGGGACTCTAGCTGGTGATGATTTTAGGAAAAAGGAGGTGCTGAGGAAATACTGGGAAAAGGTAATTAGGAGAGAAGAACTTTTCTAAAGATTGAGATCCAGAGTTAAATGGTTGAAGAACTCTTCTAGAGATTGCAAAGGAGGGAGGCTGAATTTAAGTGGGTCCGAAGGAATGAAAAATGGGTTAGCTGATTATCTAGCAAAACAAGGGGCATTGAGACAACTATTTTGGGCTCTGCTTTGTAATGAGGGACAGAAAGGAGTGATTAAATGGGATCATCAATCCCATCACCAAGTTGTATAAACCATTCCCAATCTGAAATTTAAATAAAATTCATGCTTACTGATAAAAAAAAAAGGTTGAAGGAAGGGGACAACAATTCAAGATTTTTTTCATAGCTATGCCTCAAGAAGATGAAGGAAAAATTACATTTCCAAATTGAAGGTTGGGTAAAGAGAGGTGGTGGACCAAGAGGAAATTGTAGAGAACATCTTAATTTGCTTCAAAGAAATGTTTACTCTAGACACCCCTAGGATACACTTCTTGAAGTCTTTGTATGGTCATATCTAATCAGAAGAGAAGAAGGCCTGGCTAGAGAGGGAGTTTGAGGAGTAAGAGATTAAGGCGGCTGTTTTTAGTATGGACAGAGACCGTGCCCCCAGGCCGGATGGTTTCCCTAGGCTGCTCTTCCAAACTTGCTGGGACATAATCAAATTGGGTCTATTGGAGGTGTTTAATGATTTTTATCATTCACCTACCGTGAATAAGGGCAATAATTTGACCTTCATTGCTTTAATTCAGAAAAAAAGTCACCTTGTAAGTTACAGACTTTGGACCCATTAGTTTGGTTGGAAGAGTAGAAGATCAAGACTGTAATCAGTCTTGAATCCTAATAGGTTTTAGGTTTACAAAATAGAAGAAAAGTGAGAGAAAGAAGAGAGAATAGAA